CTGCCAATCTATGCTGCCGCCTTCTATTGTTTCCTCTGGCGAATTTCGCTCAAAACTCATTGCCGGTGACTGTGAGCGACGGGAATGCTCTAACGATTGCTGGCGGGCTAGTTCATGAGGCGAAAACGTTGCTGCCGAAAGCGAAACTATGCGCTGTGTCTCACCTCCAGTTTGAGTCATATTATCGCCGCCGATACAACTTTGCGCTTTCTCTTCAGCTTTTGTACGCAGCTTCTCTTCTAATACCTTATTTTTACGCTCCAAAGTCTCCACTTTCGATGTAAGCTCTTCAAGCTCTTTAGTAAGATTAGCTAACTCTCTGCGGAAAAACAATATTCGTTTAAAAGAGATGATTTTAAACGAGTTTTAAACATCCCTTACTTTTTCAGGCCACTTTCCTTCATACTATATTCCAGTTGCGCTTGCTGCGAAGCCATTTTCGCTTTTTCTTCTTGCAGCAGCGAATGTGAAAGAGTTTCTTCCAGTTCAGAGCAACGCTTCTGCAGCAATTCGACACGTTCTTCATATTTAGNAAATTTAATTTTACGTACTATTCAGGACAAGTCAGCTAGCTTACCCAACTTATCTAGAAGTTCTTTTTCCTCTTGATTCCAGTTGCTGGTTCGCTGGGTCAACGTATTTTGTAGGGATTCGAGTTGTCGCATTAGTGGAACCGTCGTTAAACTCGCCTCCTGTGTAGTTCTTTCAGCACGCATTTCCGCCGCTTCCAAACGTCTCATTAGTTCCTTGCTCTCTTCGCGCAACTGCTGTTCTCGCTTCACTGTCGCCTGCTCGGCGCCACGCAGTTTTTCGCGCAATTCCCCCAACTGCACCAAAATTTCTTCATTCTCCGTCTTTAGCAATTCGCGTTCTTTCTTTGCGGCAATCGCTTCTTCAGCGGTGCGTGTTAGATCGGTGTGTTGGCGTGTACGTTGCTGCAATTCCGACTTTGCTGCTTCGAAGCTTGACTGCAAAGTGGCCCACTTTGATTGTAAATCTTCCAATTTACTACGCAGCTGTGCATTTTCGTCTTCAAGTTTCCGTTTTTCGGAAGACATTTTATGCACTGCTTCTATTTGTGAGCGCTCCACTTCCTCCTTGGCATTTAAGGTTTTCTTGAGGCGCTCAAGTTCATCTGACAAGCTCGTAATTTCTTCCTTATTCTTTTTCAATG